TTTTTAGGAGTGGAGAGAAACTTTGAACCTGCTGGTGGCTCCATTTTATTAAACATCACTGTATATGTGTCTATATGTATATATGTTTCAAGAAGTTTTTAAATTTTAAAATAAGAAATACTTCAATATTCATTGGAACGAGGAAATAATAAATCACAAATTTTACTATGATGTGTCTGTGTCAATAAAATCTTTTTCAATAGTATTCATTTCATCTAAAAGAAATGAATAATGTTCTACTATTGTTATTGATTGCATTTCAGATAGACATTTATGAAATATTTACAAAAAATATATATACAAATCGTTAAAATGTACAATTTGGCTTAATTTAAGATTACGAAAAAATCAATAATCATTAAAAAATATGATGATGGTTATCGTTATCTCAACATGAGATAAAAACTAAATAACCATCCACTTAAATAAGAAACCAAAAAAAAAAAAGAGACAGATAATTTTAAATAATTACGTACGTATTCATAATGTTATTATTGGATTATTTTAGGCTTCTTATACTGGAACCACGGCTCTAAAGGTCATAACAATTTTTACAAAAATTGTTTTTTTTTTTAATTTTTAATACTATTTATTTAATTTTAAAAGCAAATAATTGAATATGTATGCAATTATTATATCCAATAAAATTATTATTCCAATAAAATATAAAGTCGGTTAAAAATTTTAAAAGATATTACAAATTCCTATTTAGATAGTACGTTTAGTATAAGAAGTATAGTCATAAATGGGAAACTCTTCTGACGGCAGTTTCAATACTCCAGTTTCAAACTTTTAGCAATTTTGTTAAGCAAATTTTAAAATTAGATCGGTACCAGTGATAGAATATACAATTCAAGATATTTAATAGGAAACATACTTCTGAAGATTTAGTAAAATCAGTTTATCCCATAAACTGTGAAAGTCAAACTCACGCAATGCAATATTGGGAAATTTTCTTGAAACCATATCAAAGTATTGTTTTCAATCGATTACAATGAAAAATACAAAATATATAATGAAGACCCGTTTTTAATATGACATCAAACAAATCGAAATTCAACCTTAAATGTAAATATATTTTAATAATTATATAAAATGTACGTAATATATGAACAAAGTATTCGATGCCATTTAGCGAGAAAATGGTGGGTGAAAGAAAATAACAGATATCAAATTTAGTTTCAACTGCTAAAAATACGATAAAAATAATCGAATTGTTTTCAAAAGTTTTTACAAACCTTCATTTAGTTGGCCTGTGTAATTTTCTTTTTTTTAATTTTACTTCTTCCTTTAGTAGTGCTAATAAAATAAATATTTTAGCATTTTCTTTCTTAATGAAATGATAAAAAATTGAGATGCAACAACATTTTTTCTTCATAATACATAACTAAAGTACAAATACAGCTCAGGGAATTTTAATTTTCACTCGCTAAAAGTGTTTACATTAACTTTTCGTTTAGTTTTCTTAGAAATATTATTCACTAAAACATTCGCTTAGATTTAGCGAATGCGAATAAGTAAGCGAATAATTCGCATATGCGAAAGCGAGCATTTGTTACTTCTCTAATACTCATACAACATTGTTCTTAACTATGTACAGTTTATTTACCCATTTTGAAGTATGTTTCCATAAAAACCATAATCTTGGGATACAACATTTTCTAAAATCCCTATCCCTTTATCTAATCAATATTACACAAATATTATATAGACATTAAACTAAACAATATGACCCAAATCAATTTATTTACAATAAACAAAATGTCATAAGATTTGATGTGTGTATATTATGTATACATACATACATACATACATACATACATACATACATACATACATACATACATACATACATACATACATACATACATACATACATACATACATACATACATACATACATACATACATACATACATACATACATACATACATACATACATACATACATACATACATACATACATACATACATACATACATACATACATACATACATACATACATACATACATACATACATACATACATACATACATACATACATACATACATACATACATACATACATACATACATACATACATACATACATACATACATACATACATACATACATACATACATACATACATACATACATACATACATACATACATATTTCTATTCGAGAAGAATCCGATCAGCATATTAATTCAAATAATGGAGAATGTCCTTTGCTAAAATTCGAATGGAGTTACCTGTATCGGAAACGTAATCAGACGTACTTCAATATTTTGTCAGTAACTTAATGAATTCATTGTTAATTTCATTATATGAATGTTTACATTCAATATAACTGATAATAATACGTGATGATGGTATTCGACGTTTGTGTTAAATTTGATGAAACATAATAAATAGCTTGCATAATAATTTAAAAATTATGATTTTAAAAACAAAACTTTTATATTAAAAAGATATAAAAAACAATTTTATATAAAAGTTATTTTTAAGGCCTTTACAAATTTGTTAACTTTGTGTTTTAGAGATAGAGGAAAATCCATGCATAAATTATATAAATGGAGACAGACTGTCACAAAAATAGTTTTACATAAAACAAGTATTTTAAGCAGATGGATGAAACCCCTAAATTCTATTTCATTTCACAATTAATAGATTTTAAAATGGAGATCAAAATTCTACTCTGACTGCAAGTTGAATTACTTAATTGCGAATTATCCCGTTATCACTAGATATTCGTTATTCGATTTGAATGTTCATTCATTGAGAACAAACAGCTGACTATGATAAATTCCCAATCAAAATTGGAGATCGCAATCATAGCATTAAATAAAAAAACTCATAAAAACATTATAAAAATCTCACTTCCTCAAAAAGTAGTTTTTAATTTGAAATGTTTATTTTACTGCATTCCATTTTACGTACTTTTTGTTATGTTTCAATATATTCTATTTGTATTCTATAATTAACGTGTGCATCATTTAACTTGAATTGTCCTTAATAATTAGTAATCAAACAAACATTTATACATATGTACGTACTTACATACATACATACTATATCAATACATACGTACTTTGTATAATACTTAAATAATCTATTAATAAATTGTTTACGAAATTTTTAAATTACATAAGTAATGTATGTATATAAAATATGTATATTATATTTCTATATACATACATTCATAAATAAGCATGTCGTAGACTGTAAAAACATAAAAATATATACAAATCGCGAGACACACACGGGCAGATAATGTTTTTATTTTCAATAAAACGAGAAGGCAGACTGAATACTACTAAAAGGAGCAAAAACACATAAAATAAATAGAAAAAAATCATCAAAATATTTGCATAATATTAAATAATTTATATAGGCTTATCGTACTTATCAATATTTAAAATGTTGAAATAAAAAATAATGCAAATGTCATCTCATAATGATGAGCCATTATAAAGAACAACAACAATTATGTTAAAAAAGAAAGAAACATTTAATAAATGTTTTATCACGTACATTGAATCTAAAAAGCATAACAAAACATAATAATGATAATTATAGTTAAGCATTTAAGCATCAGCGGTAAATTAGATAAAAAATAACTAAAATTTTTAATATTTACATATACATATGTATATACATACATTAGGGCTATAACTTTAATACGATTTTATAAAATTTCAATCGGTCCTCTCCATTCTACATACAAAAAGTATATCAAAATTTCTCGAGCTTAAAAATAGTTTCCGCGATATTTACTGAAAACAAAATTTTAAATTTATTTATTTAAAATCGGAAAATTAGATTATACCATTAAAATTCATGGAAATTTGTTTGTGAATGGTTTTAGAAATCCATTTTCCGCTGAAGGTACCACGTAGTGTTAGGTTATAGCACTAATATATGCAGATATGTAGGAGTGTATTAGTGCATTTCTTTATATATTGAGAAAAACAAATTCTGCAACTTTCTTCTTGTATGTTTCGGAAAAATATCTCGTAAAATTTAGAATATGTTACATATACGGTGGCGTGTCATAATGTACATGGAAGTAAGACAGGAAGAGTCATAGTGTCCATGGTCGTCATAACACTTTCAAAAGTGTCAAAATGTACAAAAATGTAATGGAAAATTTGTTTAGGATTTAAGAAAGTGGCACTCTTATCTAGGATAGAATTGCTCGTAACTTTGGTGTACGTTGTATTTTGGTTCAAAAAAACTGTCCTGGGATTTTATACTCTGGGGTATTTCGAACACCTTCTTCGCTATTTTAAGCCTTTTTATGATAAAAAAATGGACAATTTGCAATCCATGGACTTTATGCCACTCTCATCATAGACATTGGACACTATGATACTGTTCGATGTGTCATAACGTCCAATGACATTATATCACGCCACTTACTTATACATCTATACTTCGTACATTAGAGTGTACCGAGGACAAGATATTCCTCGGAACACTTTAATTTATATAGCGCAAGAAGTCTTTATGTTAATTTATGTTAATGATGGAAGGGATGAATAATAACTTATATGTACATGTATTACAAACAATATTTCCAAATGAAAAATTGCTAAAATCCGCTAAATATTTGATTCAGCAACTGTAAATAATTTTATTTGCAAATAATTAATAAATAGAAATTAATTGTGGCAAATGATGTTGGATATTTTTTTTAATTAGAACAATTATTGCGTCTATGTAAAATAATTTAGTGCCAATGAAATGCAAGGATTAATTTGGAAATTATATTTATTCCAATTAAATGTGTTTTTCTCAATGATCGATAGGACTTGATAATGTTGTTAAAAAAATTATAAATATGTATTTACAAAATAGTATGAATATATTATATTGTTATTATGTTGCATTAAATAAACAGACTTAAGGCAATTATTCGCAAATTTAGTTTTGAAATAATTTTGAAAAGCTTGCAAAATTAATTCGATTAATAAGAAGTACAAAAATAGAAAACTTAATAAAGTTCTTACAAATTAGTTTTAATTTGTT